CGTATGTAGCATCGACGATGACGCTCGTCACTCAACGCGCTCTCTTACAGTGGCCTCGGGCGACCGGCCAACACAATCCACCTCTGGATGGGTTTACAATTCGGCGGAAAGGCGACGCGCCGACCAAGGTCCGGCTCATCATGTATTTGGAGCATTATCCGGAGCAGTTCAGGGTTATACCCGAGCTTGGTGGGTCCCCACGGTTGTGGGTTGGCACCCAACTAATTATTGACAGGAAACATTTTGGGGATCAAGGAGGACAGTCGCGTCGGCGTGATACAAGCTCTGTGGAATTACATCAAAATCCAAGGCCTCCAAGATAAGGTCGATCGACGCATGGTCCGCGCTGACGAAAAGCTCCGACCGGTATGTTGGGAAATACCGGTTCGCTGTTATGCGCTAATGAATGTTTTATTAAAGATATTCAACGGGGAAAGCATCCTGTTCCAGAAACTGCCTGAGCTGGTGAACCGGTGCCTAGTTGCGCCGGAACCGATTGTGCTGCATTATATGATCAACCCTACGATCCCCGCGCCCGAGCGGCCGATGGCGTGGGACGTGGAGATAAAGACGGAGGACGTCGGGCTCAAGGGCAGGATGCACAGCGTGGTGCAACCGAACAAGGAAAGCCTGCAGAGTCTGACGAAACTTGATGAAGAGGTGGGTGTGATGTGTCGGAGATTTACGTGGTGACTGAACGCGGTACAGATCGCGACGCTGGCGCAATCGCTGCACAACTCGCACCTGAAGCGGACGTTCCTGCAGTCGTTTGCACGGGACCCGGGGCAGTTTATACAGACGTGGTTAGAGTCGCAGTCGCGGGATTTGGAGACGGTGTTGGGGAGTGGGCCGACGGACGGAATGACGATCAGACAGGAAGAGCTGAAGCGGAGCGAGTTTTTCCGGCTGCCTTGGGTGGAAGAGGCGGTGTCTGTGCAAGAGGGAGTGCGGCTTGCGACCAAGGCGACGCATTGAGTATAGGTTGTATGTAGAGAGTATGTAACTCAGAGTAATATTAAATATGGACGCGTTGAATGAGCGGAGTTGCTCACCTGACACGCTAGTATCAGCACCTGACACGGGATTGACGGGCCGACTGCGCTTGCCACCAACCACCCAACAGCGTCCTCTCTGCGGGCAGCAGCCACGTCGCCTGCAATGCGCTCCGATGCCCCCCATGTCCTCGCCGTCGCCCACGACGCCCTCGACAACCAGGATGCCCTCCACCTCTGGTCCGGTCCGTGCCCCGTTTTATTCCCATCCTTGTCATTCAATATATATTATATTTTCCCAGTCTTCTCAAAGTGCAGGAACTCCCTGCAGGACGGCCCCCGTCTCGAGAACATCACCTGGCGCCTCGCCTCTCGCGATCTCGCCCAGAACAGGCAGCTCCTTCACCGTCCATGGCCCCCCACTCCCGAATCCGACTGCAGCAACGCTTCCGGTAGCAGTGGTAATATTGCAGGCAGCAGTGCTGCCTCATCCCCGTTCTTTTCCATTGCACCCAGAAAGAGTTGGTTGCTGCCAATTTTCGCCCTATCGCTCTCTGATCAAATCTCCCCAGCGATCACCATGCCCGCACGCCCCGTAGGACGTATTATCTGCGATATAATCCCGCCCGGACCCACCCAGAAGCTCACTCGCTTTCAGAAGAACGAGCCTTACCCCACACCCAGCTCCTCTGACAGTTCTGGCTCCGCTTCGTCTTCCGCCGTCTCCATCGCCATCGAATCCCCTACAATTCAACAGCCTCCTTCCGAGGTCCCCAAGCTAATCCTTCTCGCTCCCACCCCCAATCTAACCCCCCACCCCACACCCCCCGCGTCGCCGCTCTTTGCCCCATCCGCACCTCCAGCCCCGCGTTCGCCGCCTAGGCGCGACCCCCCTGGCCCTCTGTTCCTCTCTCACGCCGCAACACGCGGTATGGGCTCCCCCATCTTTGCCCCTGCTGATTCTACCAACGCCCCAGCTCTACAAGCTTCCTACGCGCCTCAGTCAACCCACATCCTACCTATCGGTGGCCGTGATGTCAATGTCCCTGCACCCGGCCAGCTTGGCGCCAGTGCAGCAACCAAAGGCAAGTTCTACCTGGCTGCACAGAGCTCGCACAGTTCCTCGCGGTCAAGTGAGACAAGCAATTCATACGAGAATGGCGATAGGTCGAGTAGCAGCGGGAGTGACAGTTCGCGCGAGCGCGGCCAAGGTCAGAGCACAACGTTCGTGCATGGGCCGGAACGCGGGCTAGGCAATGGGCGTGGCAGAGGACGGGGGCAAACGAGGAACCCGGGGAGAGGGAGTTCGTCGTCAGAAGAGGTCCATCAGCAACCGCAACAAGAGAAATCCCCACCAGAACCCAAACAACGCGTCGAACCGCCGCCGCGACCAGCTCCTTCCGCCAATACATCCAATGATCCGTCGATTGCTGTCCTCAAACAACGCTCCGTATCAGCTTTGGCGTTGGAGGTATTCTTTGTGTTACTTTTGTTGGATCATGCCGTTAATGTCCTCTAGATGACCGCACCGACGGAGAAAGGCCATACAACCACCGTTGCTGACGACGCCCGGTCGGTGAGCTCGCTCGCGACGTCCTCGTCGCAACGCGTGCGGGCGAGGGGGAAACAACCCGTGCGCACGGCGTTGCCGAGACAGCATTCGCGCTCTCGTTCCCGCAAGGGCGGGACTCACGCACAGCTTGGGATGACGTCAAATCTGCCACCAGCATCGAATATTGCGGCTGCGGCGGCGATGGTGGAGCGTACGATGAGCAGCAAGCGGCTGGTTCAGCTTCAGCTTCAAACAAGCGACGAGGAGGACGAATGGAGCGACGAGAGTGCGGACGGCGCTGAGAGCATAGAGGGTGAGGTGGATGAAGGAGAGCAGGATGGCGAAGAGGAGTGGGAGGACGATGTAAGCGAGAGTGTCGAGCAGAGTGGCGCGCCGCCGCCGTCGCTCCAGCAACAGCCTCCTCCTCAGCTTGCCCACTCGCGGCGCACTGCCAGCACGGATCTACGGCAGCTCCCGACACGCCCTCACCGCTCTGCTGGCCACCTCCCCGCGCTCGCACGTGATATTTTCGCCAAGGCTCCCCGCACCAGTTATGAGAACCTGACCCAGCTCGCGAGCTCACGGCCCGGCGGCCTCACCCTCCTCCTCGGCGGTCCGCGCATGCCACAGCCAGGCGTAGCAGATCAGTACCGCCAGCAGCAGCAACAGCTTCATCAGCAGAACGGCGTCGGCGGCGTGCCAGCGCTGCGCCCCCTCCATGGAGGGTTTGGCGGGCTGGGGCTTCACATGAGCTCCGCTCGGCCGACGCCGCTCTCCCCCATTCCGCCTACACCGGCGACTGCGGCGCGAGAGCAACATCATGAGCCGGCAAAGCCCCAACCACCGCCCCAAGCCAGAGCACCCTCGTCTCCGAGACAACCGCAACAACCACAACTTGGGCCACCGCCGCGCCGTCCGGGAATTCAGCGTGCGTTGTCAAGCAGCGCTTTACCACCGCATTTCGGCGGCGCACCAACGGGCACCAGCGGGTCGCTTGGGAAGAGCAGTGTCGCTGAGCCAGTTGTTTCTGTAGGCGGGCCGGATGTTTTGGAGGGAAGCATCGCCCCCACTGCTGCTGGGAGTTTGAGCGCGGGACGAAACGGCGGGTACCGACCCAAAGGTCCGCCGGCGGAGATGGAATACGACGATGATGACGACGAGGAATCGGACGCGGATGGGCGGGGCGAGCCCAAGGGCCGCGATGACGGGCAGTTGTCCCAGAGCCAGAGCGCGGCACAGGAGAAGCTGCGCGTTTTCCTTTCCAAGAACCGAAGCACTAACGGCGTCGATGCGGCAGAGGCGGAGCGCCGCCGGCTGTTCAACGAGGCGGGCGACGTGCCATGGGCGACTGCGGATAATCAACATAATGTTGCCCCGCCATATGTCCCGCCGCCACCGAACCGAACGATGACGACCGCGCCAGTTGGATTCCCGTACAATCTTCCTGCGCCCGCGCCACCGTCGACGCCGCGTACGACGCGCCAGCAAATGCTGCGCAACGAGATGAGCGAGAGTGTAAGACACAACTTGCTGTGGCAACGCAAGCTGAGCCGGACGGATACGATTGGGCCGCAACCACGTCGGACGAAGAGCACTGTGAATGTGCTAAGTGAGGCCGCGTATGCTGCTGCTGGGCAGACTGGACGCCAGCCTGCAAAGAGCCTCGTACGGGTGACGCCAAGGGCCCCCGGGACAGAGCGTCGCGACACGCTTCCGCCGATGGACCCGCCCGTGCCCGAGGTTGGGCCCAAGAAGAAGCTCGTTCGGAATCTCAGCTGGGCGAATACTTCGGATTACCACGCCCGTGGGTGGTAGTGTCTTTCTTTATATATTCGCACTTTCTTTTCCCCCTAATGCATGCCTGCTGCTCAATACTGTACAAAATCAACATACATACTCATCATTGCTCGCTTTTGTTGTCGCTCTGGTTCCACTTGTATTACCATTTTTCTTTCTGGCCTTTAGTGTACATATATAATTGGTAAATCACAATCTTTGCATCTTAGCGTTCGGAAAAAAGCCTGTACATAATAATCGCGGAGACTAGGTCTGCCCGCTTCAACACAGGAGGCAGGTCGTGTAATCCATGTCCAGGTTTTTTCCTTTTCCTTTCTGCTCCGTTTTTCCCTTTTCAATCCTGGTCTGTTTCACTTAAGTATTTTTTTCCCCCGACATTCCGGCCATTATTTGGAGGGTCTGAACGTTCTTCCCGGAAAATCTTACCAACCCCAACACCTTGGCTAAAATTAACGCCTATCTGCCTATGCGCTATCCGCCCCTGCCCGCCGTTGAGTTGAGGGCTCATTCAACATGCAAACCTTGGCAAAATAAAAACTAATTAGAGCAATGGCTTCCGATTTTTTTTTTTTGTGAGACCGAGAGTGGCTTCCCGGACGTGCGGGGAAGGAGGTAACGTCGGAGGGACTTTTGGGGGGTCAAAACGTTGGCAAAAGATATGATTGGAGTGGGATTCGAACCCACGCCCTTAACGGACTAGTATAGTAAGCAATGTACACTGGAGCAGTGTTAGTCCTGAAACTAGCGCCTTAGACCACTCGGCCATCCAACCCATGATCTCCTCTGCCCCGCTCTGTCTAACACCTGCACCCCGCTGTCCGTGTCCGTTCCGTTCACCTCGGTCTGGCTGCTGCATCCGCGGATCCAACTTGCCCTCCGGCCTGGCTTGTCGTCCGTACTCTGCCTGGTATCCCCCTCGCTTGCTGTTGCATCCAGCCTTTGACACACGCTCTTGGGGTTTTTACACAATGATGATTTATTGAGTGTTTCCCCTTAATTAACCTTGTACTTATGTTCATATATTCCTTTATGTCTTTGCTTACTTCTCCAACCACATCCAGACTATCTCCATACTCGGTATAAGTATATATTTACTTTAGATGTAACCCTAGTTGATAATTAACGTGCTTTGCCTCTGCTGTTGTCACGATTCGACCCTCTGTTTTATCATCCATCTAAGCACCCAGAGATAAGATCACAATCTTAAGCGCTCACATGTCACATGGATTTGTCAAGAAATCACGGGACAGGGATGAGTCATCAACTAGAATAGAACACCAGGAGGGGAACAGACATCATGCCTCATGGAACACTTGCACATCAGGAAGGCATGCTGTTACAGAACATTTCCCATGCTGTTACGGACTGGTTCACACACACTGGAGGTAAGCTGTGAACTACAGGCCCTGTAAACTCAATGTAAATGCGAGGGAAACTTTAAGTTTTCTTAGTAAATACCCATCATTTACAGTGCCTGTAAATTGGGAGTAAATTTATAATTTCATCTGGAATTGCCAATTTACATGCCCTGCAAATTCCTGGTACCAACTAGGTCTAGGTCTATTTTCTGGTTACCTGTTCTAAATGTCAATCAATGTCATGTCACATGCTCCTTATATGGATGGCTGCACCCTTTTTGAACAAACAATTCCCGTTTGCACTGCCTCATAGCCCCTATCTACTCATCCGTCTGCAATCACCATACCTCAAGTCCCCATTCAAGAATTCCCAGATACTGAAGGTATACAACATCTCAATACCAGTGGAAGTCTGAACAACAGCTTCTGTAGCACTCTCACCATGGGAAGTGTGACATACTTGAATTCTGAGTGAAGCCTTTTTTTTTCTTTTCTTTTTTTGTGGAACATCAGGTAGAGGTGGAAATGGACACTTTCACATCCTTCTCACAGGGTGTTTCCGGTGACACCAACCTTTGCTTGAAACCTGCCCCCCTGATCATTGGACCGACCAAGTTGACCTCCCTCCGCCCGTTGAATGAAGCCAGGGAAACAAGAACCCAGCTGACAGAGAGCCACCTGGGGAAATGCGCAATTGCACACGCACCTGAGACACCGTGTACTGTGTGGGGCTAGGGTTAACTTACTCCAGTCCGCAGGTGACCATCATTGTAAGCTAACCCACACCCACTAAAACTCCGGTCATCCTGATCCAGTCATCGGGATGTGAGGTGCTGGTTGCTGGGCATCCGTTTCAATCAGAACATGCACTACACCCGTTTCTTGTCCAGCATCCAACACATATCCTTCTCTACCCTCCGCCACTTTGCTATTGTTAACGACAGGGCATAGATCCCACCTTACTTAGACATTTTTGTTCACACGGTGATTGTCCTCATCAACACCCTCTACGACTTGCGGCTGTCCGCGTTCCTCATCCCGTGGGTCCCAGCAGGAGCACTTGTGACTCTCACCACCATTGTATTGTTGAATCTCATGGCACTCGGGAGCCCAACAGCGACAGAACTATACAGTTGGGGGCTTCAGCAGGCCTCGAGCCATTGGGTTTGCATAATGTCAACTGTTCAGATCAGGTTGCTTATACCTGTACACAAAGGAAGCTCATCGCTGCTACAGGGGATGCACACACTTTCCAACCCCTCTTATGCGGACATCTGAGAGTGGTTCACTTGGGTATCGAGAGTGAACTGCTGCAGAGGGTGGTGACTGCGCTCTGTGCCCCCAATCTCTCCCACCTCAACCTCGATATCCCATCCCAGACATGCATCAAACTGCTCCTGAAATGCGCTGACTTCGTTGGGCCAGCCACCACACTCTCAGTTTGCAGCTACTATCTTGGGATCACTGAAGTCAAACAGCTCTACACATTGATGCCCTTTGTGTGCGAACTGGACATCTGCAGATCTCGCAGTTGTTACTGCACTGCTGTGAACCTGCACAAACCGGCATGGCCACGATCGCACACCCTGCCGCCCCGTGACCCATCCCCCCCAAACCTGTGCAACTTATTCAGTGTCGGTCCTCGGATCATACCCGAACTTCGCTTGCTTGAGATATTGTACATGCAACAGATCCTGTTGACAGTGGAGGAAGAGGACTGGGTGAGATGGAATGTGCGGGATCTCAACCTTGCACTGGAGGAAGGTATCAACTGGTAGGTTTCTGTGGAACTTTGAGAAGTCGTGTGGCAATGGTTACTTGTCGAGTTTTATGACCATGTATTTAGTGCATACTTATTGACATTATTGAATGTGTACATGTCAGTACCCGTGAGCTCAGCTTTTCCAGCAGTACCAGGGGAGCCTGGAGGGTGTTATATACCAAGCCGTGGGGAAGGGCTATGCCGGTTAAGCCGGCCGGGGTATGAAGGCCGGACGGGATATGAAAGCCGGTCAGCGTAGGAATGCCGAAAGCCGAAGGTGAACGGACGTGGGGGACGCTAACGCCACAGAGGTGCTCGGCGAGCTAGACTACCAGCCAGCGAAGTGGATGAAGAGCTGGACGGCCGATGTGAACAAGGCCGTAGGAGGGAGAACGACTTAGACGATGAACGATGAGTCCAAAGACGTTTATAATTAATCTAAAGTACAAGCTGGTAGATACGGGGTTTAAATACTAAAGCCAGATCTAATTATGAATTGGGAAGTACAAGGGATATAGCAAATGGAGAACATAGCCTTGAAGCGAGTACAAGGGAACATACAGATGGAGAACAATGCATGGGGGCGTGTAGATGGGAAGCATGTGGAGATCCACGCGAAGGCGGATAAACAGGAAACACTCAGAATACTTCATTGCATAAAAACCCGTCTTCGGCCAAAGGCCGGACGCTAGTCTGAAGACTGGCGGATCGGAGAATATGAACCGGGGGAAGTCCGGTGTAATGGCGGAGTGTGGTGATAAGCCGGGCGGCGTAATAAGCCGGTAAGCCGGATTCCGCCGGAGGAGGTACCAGGTGGTACGGGATGTAACAGTATCCCCCCCTTACGTTCCTTGCCCTCAAGGAACAAGGACGCCGTGGGAGGAAGCATGTGACGGCCGAAGGTAATGGAATGCCAGAGAAGAACAATGCCGTCACGTGCGGTGTTGACACAAGTCTAAGACAGTTGTCAAACACGTCACAACAAGGAAAATTTTCTTTCTCCACAACCACCACCCACAATACCAACACGAAATGGAACAAGGAAACTATGACAGTATTTATCGCTGAAAATTATAAGGTTGGGCACCAAGGTTTAGAACAGTATTCTACAGGTAGAAGGTAAGAGGTTTATGCAGTATGTGAGGTTGAGGTTCAGGTCAAGAACCGAGGTTGCAGTCGATCATAGGTTGTGAGGTGTGAGGTTGCACACTTGACATGTGAAGGTTGTATGATAAGATCAAGGTTCAAGGTTGCCATTGATGGTGATGAACTTTGATGGTGAGGTTGAGGTTCAAGGTCGCAGTTGATTTCCCAATTTGGTTACCATCAACATACTATGGTTTGCCATCAACATACTGTGGTTTGCCATCAACATACCATGGTTTGCCATCAACATACCATGGTTTGCCATCAACATACCATGGTTTGCCATCATTATACCATGGTTTTCCACCATTATTCGCAGTCAACCATGGTTCCACTAAGATTAACTCCAATGCACTTTGAGACAATGTCATTTGAGCAAAACCAGTATATAACTTGTAAGCAGCTTGAGTCTATATAGCTATCTCGTTACTCTCTCAGAATTATTGTGCAATTCACTAGCTCAAACCCAATCTGTCTGCACTATCATTTACTGCTTATCTGATTTGATTTGGTAGACCAATACCAGCATTTAGTCTTGCTATACTCATCACTCTTTGTTTTTATCACCAGTTGAAGCAAATACTTAGAATCAACAACTCTTGTAGCAAAAATTTAGGAGAGATTGGGACTCTTCCTACACTTTAGTTTGTATCAAATTTCATTGCTAATACTATGGACTATCAGGATAACTACTGCAATCTTCCTGTTGCTGCATTCTGGATACGCAATATTTTATTGTCGCTCAAATACTTGATAGTTTATTGTTGCTGCATTCCAAATACTCAATACTGAATCTTTTCCTTCAAATCATCCGTCCCTTCAATAGTTAAACTATTCTTGGCTGTGATGATTTTTTTTGTTTCAGGTTATGTCTGTCTTGTACTGGAAAGAACTGAGCTCAACATTATGATACCTTTGCTTCCCCAAACAAGATGGTTCTGATGGTGCAGCTGTTATGTTTGTTGATCTCTAACACTGGATAAGGTTAGGGGTTGAGGTTCGGAAGGCTGTGAGTTCAATTCCTCTAGGTGGTACTTTATTTCACAATATAGGTGGTTTTGCCTCACCTTGGGTTTTTTTGTCCCCTCTGTCTCTCTTTGTCTTGAAACCTCATTTGCCACTGACTGGTTAACCCATTCTCTGAGGAGGAGGTGCTACTGGTGCGAGCACAGAGGGATATTTGTATTCTAACTATGAACCAAAAAGTAGTATGTACCAAATAAATTGCCTCAGGTTTCATTGTTGGTTTTTGTGTATCATGAAACTTTTCTGTTTTCGGTGTGTCTAATAATGACTGAACCAACCAGTCTACATTAAAGTGAGAAGAGTGGGGATTTTAGTTAGAAATTCAATCCAACTGCATGAAACAAATGAAATGTAAAACAGGTGAAGAATACCTGGTATTCAGCAAGTATATTTGTCGTAACAGAGATAATCAAGCAACAAATGTGAGGCTTCCCTTTCCATTTACAGAACAGATCAAACTCCAACAAAATTGGGGGTTCA